AGTTTTAAACATTCTTTTAATTTAAAAAATTCACACCACTTAGGAGAAAATATGTTGGAACTTTTGCTGATTCACTTCCTCATCTGCCAGCCACGTTCATGCCAAAAGGAAGACTCTTCGTATCAGGTTATGTGAGATATTTAATACTCACAGGTTCATTCACGATAGTCTATGTGGTAATATTAATGCCTGGGAAAAGAAAATAAGTTTTTATTTCCCTTGCAGTGATTACCAAAAGCAGATATTTTTCTGGAAGAAAAATAAAAAGAGGCAGGAACTGTAGCAATTGGGCTTATCAAAAGATAGAGACTCTAAGCTACTAAGATGTAAAAATAGAAAAAAAATTTTAAATATCAGGACTTAGGCATCAAAATGAGTACTGATCTTCAAAGTAGTCTCTGATTGTAATGCTGCTGCCACATTTGGGACCAGCCACAGAACCAGTTTTGGAACGTCCCACAGGCCAATTGTTAAGGCACAGAAGAGACCCAATCTTATTACCCTATGTTCACACATAGGATGTTGGATGGTGGTTGACCAAAAAAAAGGTATGAACCCACTTGATCATACACATTATTCTCTAAACATGGTCCTCCGTGACTCTTGTCTGCTTTCAAAACTGAAACCTACCTTCCTCTGTTGATGGTGATTCTTCTCCCTAAAGTGTAAGTTGGCTCCAGGAGGGCAGGACCCCATACCCAGATCCATGCCTGGTACGTGGTTGACAGTAAATTCTTGCTCGATAAATAAATGCTAGAGAAAAAGGTAGATCTTTATCCCCATTGAGGATATAGAAAAGAATTTGTACTTAGCATCCCATCTGTACTTATTCTGAAAGAATTCTAAGCCACAGCAGCATTTTTATAAGGGCATTGCCTCCTGGTGCGATCACTCCAAGAAGGATTTGTGCATCTAATTTCTGCGTTGTTGTTTGGTTAAACACATTTCTTGTTGTCATCTCTATTGTTTCAGTTTCAGGAGACTTTGCTCGGGTCCCAGGACAAAGTGGTCAGTATCAGGGAGCAGGACAGCTGGATGGACAAGTCCACAGGAAACAGGCAAGCAAGCAAACCATAATAAAACCCCTTCCCAGGAAATCAGCTATTTGCCAGATGTAGACTTTTAGTAAATCTGAAAAACCTGGCAAATCTAATCACAAACACTGCTTGTTAAGATTGATATCAGAACCAAACAACTCTCTGTAACTACAAAAAAAAATTTTTTTAAAGAACATTTCCAAGCTGTTGCAGAATAATTCAATCAATCTGAGAAAGATGTTAAGGCTGCATTGCTATGAATAATATTCTTAATAGTGACAATCTTAGAGCTATTGATTGTAAATACTTCAACTGTTTTGAGAACTACAGTGCTGAAAATGGAAATCATCATGTCAAAGGGATACCCGTACCACATGTTTATTTCAGTGCTGTTTACAATAGCCAAGAATTGGAACCAGCCCAAATATCCATCATCAGATGAGTGGATAAGGAAACTGTGGTATAATCTATTAATATCCAGGCATGACCATTTTCAATAGCTTTAAGCAAGTCAGTGTTACAGTAGAAATCACCCACCTGATCTGTGCCGGTGCCTCACTCTGAACCTGCAGTGACTAAGGGTAGGTATAGTATGTTCGTCCTCCTGCCCAGCAAACATGCTGAATGGAAATACAAACCCATCCAGATGACCATCGTCTGTATGGTCAGCAGCTAAGCCAGCATGGAAATGCTGTTCCATTCATTCTGCAAGTAAATTTTATTAGGCGAGTATGTGCAGCTCTCTGCCAGATGCTGGAGGGAACGAGATGAGAGGACTAAAGAAGGGTTAAGACATGGTGCCTGACTGTCAAAAAGCCTACAACCTGCTAGGGAAAGGAGAACCATTAATACGTGATTAAGTGGAGACAAGAGCAATGGAATGACAGAGGCAGTAGGTCCAAGAGAAATCAGGAAGAAGAAGAAGAAGGAGAGTGGAGATGAAAGTGAGCCAGGATGGTCAGGGGAAAGCTGTACAAAGGAGTGAAACCTGCGTTGGATGGTTAAAAACAAAATTAGATGGACTGAGAGTCAGAGGAGGGAGGGAGAGCAGGGGAGGACACTCAAGTTAATGGTGGAGAGCAGGCGGGTTGCACACGTCAGACCTGTTTATGCCCACGGGCTTATTTTGCAACTGGGAATGTACATGCAGCAATAATTATTGCACCTACTTTTTGCTTAAGTATTTTCCTTGAAATGTCCCTGTTCTTAGTAAGAGTTGAAGAGGACTGTATATTTTTTAAAAACTTCCATCCATCTACCTTCTTTATTTGAGGATGTCACTTTCTATCCTAAACTGATTTGCTTCCTAGGCATGTAGGGCAAAGATACACACACACACACACACACACACACACACACACACACACACACACACACACACATATAGATGGCCATGGCCTTGCTTCTGCAAATGTCAGAAAAATACTACTAATCTCAGGATGCCCTAGTCATCTGGCCTTGCTCTTTCATCATACTATGCTCTCCTTAAAGAAAAGAGTTTTTATTGGTCGATTGGTTGGTTGATTTTAATTTATGGAGAGGGATTTTCTCACTTAGGTATACAAATATATACATGGTGACTTTTCAGATTAAGGGTCAGGCACAGGTTTTGTTTAAATGTTGACAGCTTGCCCTTTGGGATGACATCATCTGCTCTGTTGGTTGAGCCTAACAGGCTGGTCCAAGCACCTTTCCAAATTTGGAAACAGAGGTGTATGCCATCGGCATAATAGAGAATAATGTTACAATAACATCAGCCAGGATATCCAAGCCTCCTTGAACCCACCTCATGGAAGGAGTGTTAGGAGTTTGCACTGTCTGCATTCCATAAACAAATAACCTTCAAACTGTGGCCCACGTGGCCAGGATTAGTATTCATGTTACTATCCATGAGAGTCACTGAAGGTCGGGACAAAGTGAGCATACTAACACTATGTGTTTATTTATGAGAGCGTAAGTTCAAGTTAGCTGAAGAAAAATGATCCAATGTACTGAAAGAAAGAAAAAAAGTATTTTACTAATGTATAGGAGACAATAATATCATAGGAATGAGGTGATAAAATATGACATACTTAGAACAAAGAGATACTTAACACGCTTCAGGGTGGTGTCCAGGAAAAAGAGAAACTTCTTATTGCAGTCAGGGAGTAATTAGTTATTCCAAAATTTAAACTATGTTATTCATTACACAAATAAAAGATTAATTTATAAAAATGATGATACAAACATATAAAGCAAAATTGTCAAATCTGCCTCCATGAAAACTTTCCTCTGGAAGACTAATGCTCCTTGGCTTAAGACAAATGGTCAGTAATGACAATGACTTCATACTTGGTGAGACAAAGGAATTAGTATTTCATGGAGTTACAAAAGTACATGATAAAGATTACTCATTTTCTATAGCTGGGCTCTCTCCCTATGAAGCAAAAATAGAATAACATTACAGGAATAAATGAGTTCCCAATTCAATACGGAACAACATGACGTTTGCTTAAGATTGTATGGTCAATCGATATAAATCACCCTATAAATCTACATGAATGCATAGTACTGTTAAAAAGTGAGATGCTAGCCTTCAAAATGACTAATGAAACCTGGAACAGTTCACACAACAACATGAAAGCATTCTTTTTTTTTTTTTAAATCTGGGTAATTCAGACAATTTGCCCGATTGGTGTAATCCCAAGAAGATCAAACACCTCTTTCCTTTGCATGCACATTGAAACGTGGAAACTACCAGTTAATTTGCTGGCATCTCAACAAATGCTCATGATAATTTTATCGTTGTTTTCTTTTAGAAATACATGTAATAGAAGCCAAGTCAAGCACCATTTGTCATTACGCTGGTTGGGTCTTTCAGATAAGATACGAGGAAGAACTCTAAAGCGCACTGAGGAAAGATAACGCAGAGAAATTCTGTGGGGCCACCAGAGCCATCATGACTGACCTCCTTCTGCGTCTAATTTTGTTGAATTCGGTCTCACTCTCCCTCCCTCCAACTCACCTTTTGCTGGTCCAGTTCTGGCCTCCATCTCTTTGTTTGGCTCTGTGTGGAAAGTACAGGCACGTTTTTAAAAGAGTCTGAAAGCATTTTACTGTGTAATGAGCAGTGGGAAGGAGGGGGGAAGGGAGGAAATAAATGACAACAGAGCAGATTATAAATGGCACTACATAGCCCATCACGGTCCTATGCATAAATTATGAATTTGGGAATTATAGTCACATTAAACTTTTCATAAATGCCATTAATAAACATCATTGTTGAAAAAAGTATACATAAAAACATGCAATATAGATTTAGTTAAAATACATGCAGCGATGCTGGGACCATGTTATATAATATGCTGGAGTAGAATTGTGTATAAAAATGAGGGTCGCTTCAATTTAGATCCCAACAAGGGCCTAACTTTTTTAAGAAGTTTGATCCATGTAGTGATTCCAGTAGTTTGGACTTCTAGATATTTTAGTAAGCTACAAAATATATAATTGTGCAATATATGTAGTTTCAAAGAAAATGTTTTATTGTATGTATGAAATTTCTGGATTGGGTTTAGTAGCTATAAATGCAATATGGGAGCAATAATATCAGATTTTATCAGTAGAGACCATCTAGTTCGCATTTCTCTCTGTTCAAAGCCATATTAATTTAGACACCTGTAAATGATATCTGACTTGTGATATATGTTAGAAAAGAATTGTTTCAAGTGTGAATTCTCTCTTTTCTTTTGACTGATGAAGAGAGATTCAAATTTCAGTTAACTAAGAAGGGCAATGTTAGCAGAGTTTGGAAGGAGACTTATTTTTGCAATAGGAGGTCAATATTGTGCAATGAATATGAAAAATGGAATGATAATGGAATCTTCATAGTGGCCTGGTGACAGAATTAATCTGAAGGATGGAAGGGAGAGGTTTGTCTGTCACGGCCGGTAGGTTCTCAGTATTTAATGCTGGCCAAAATAAATCTGTTCGTGCAAGGAGAAAACATACCTAAGAAGATCTTAAGAAGAATGTCACACATCTATACTGGTTTTAAGATCAAGATCTAAAGAAAACAAAATCTGAGCTTGGCCTTGTTTGAACTCATATGGTACTGAGCCTGTTTTATCCATTTTGACACATAGCAGTATTCTTCTATTCTATTTGGGTTTTGAGTGTGTGAGTCTAGTATTCTTAGCTAGACAAAGGGGCTCCTGTGAGATTTCTCAGCTTTCCCTCCTGAAAAACAATCTCCAGGATAGAAGAGCTTCATAATTCCCCCGATAAATTTCCATGAGAAAATATGACCAGAAACTGAGGCCTCCTTCAACTTCCATTTTCACCTAGGCTGGACCAGTCTGTGTGACATCCCATCCTCTACTTCATACTATATTGTCAATTCAAGTGATCTGCATTTAATCACATACTACCTTGGGGGGTTTCTTACAGCATTGCCTAACGTTTTAATGCAATGGTTGCATTTGATTTAATTGTTCTCCAGGCTGTATTTTATCTTCTACTTGGCTGCAAACAAACTGGAAACAGGGAAATGTTTCCTACTTAGAGATCCCACCTACATGTGGTACAGTATGTTCACACCTCACTATCAATAAGTGGTAGATAGTTCTATACCCTTCTGAAGGGTTAGAGCAGAGCTGTGCACATGGCAAATAGCCAGTGAATAATTCTTGAATGCATCCAGTTTCTCATCCTGTTCAAGGAGGAAGAGTTCCTGGGAAAATGCACATGAATTTGGTTGCTTCCACCCTGGAGGCTGTTTTGTGGGGGCAGACAAGTGATTCTGGAGGGCCATGCTGGGGGTTAACAACCCACTTGGGTTTCTTTCTTTTTTTTTTTTGTCTTTTTTCGTGTCCGGCAACAGATCGCAACCCTCAGTGTCGCGCCCGTACCGGACTGGGACTGGCAACGGGATCGCAACCCTCGGTGTTGCGCTCGCACCTCGCTCAGCCAGTGAGCGGCCGGTCTGTATGTGGGATCCGAACCCTCGGCAGGAGTGCCACTGCACTCCCAAGTGGTGCACTGTAGCAGTGCGCCACCGGGCCGACCCCCACTTGGGTTTCTCATCCTTCCAATTTGTTCTGTTCCTCGTGTCTATGTGGATGTCAAAACAGGCTTCATGCATTGTGTGTCACTGAGGACTGTGGCTACCTGCCAAGGATTTCACTGCATATCTTCACTCAATTTTTGTTGCCAACTGCTGGACAACGGGTACTAAAAACTCCAGAAGTAGGTCCTGATTTTGAGTCTCGGGGGCCACCAAACCTTTGTAGACACTCCCTGAGGAGTTTCTGGAGGTGCTCGATGGTGACATAGATCAAGTTGGGAAGGGGCTGTTGATCTTCCAGGGTTGAGGTGGGATCCACTCCCCACTCACCAGAAAGCTGTGGGTTTTGTTTGACCTTCACTATATGGGGAAAAGCCCCCCAAGTCCTTCAGCTCCTTGGAAGCTCAGCTTCCACGACTGTAAAACATGGGTGTAGCAACAACTTTTGCATAACATGAAGAATTTTATAAGAATCATTTGCATAATGTATATGAAGTGCCATCCAAGTTAGATTAATGTGAGAGGGTTATATAAATGTCAGAGGGTTATTGTTTTTACGATTATGAACTTATCACAACTGTCGCCCTTCAACTTCTCAGTAGGAGTTGGGTTAAAGCTCACAACATCAGTGGAGGCCAAATCATGCTGGGATGGGCATTCGGGATTTGCAGCCCAAACATGTGAAGCAGGGTTTAAACTCACCTTCTGGGGGTGAGGTAGGGGCTGGCACTTCATTTTCTAGAAATGAAAAGAGCAATGGAAGCGTGAGGCTCACTTACCACAGAGAAGGGTTTGGGCTGCTCTCCACTCCAGGCAGCCGTCTTAC